AGGTTGAGAAACGCTGCGTTAGGAGTTCCATTTCTATTTTCTGCATCTGGGAGATTGCATAATCTCCATCCCAAATTGCAGAGTAGTTGTATGCATGTCTGTTTGGAAATAAATTCCTCTGATTAAACCAACGGCAAGCAATGTATGGTCCTCCTGATATTTTGGGCTCCTAACAGAAATCAGCCAGAGCCAGAAATGAATGGCAAGAGATGATGGGAGTTACAGTCCAGCAACATCTGGAGAGCTATGCACATCTTGTTCTGGTTAAGTACATTTGCATCTGGGTCAAAGTACAGCATTACTATCAGATTTTTGAATTCCACATTAATGGATCCTACCACTAGTATTTCACCTTAAACGATTTAATCTTCAGGCCCTAATATGAAAGTGGAATATTATGCAGAAGAAATAAAACCACAACTCTCTTCTCTCTTTGCTTCTGGTGATAGCATCTCCCTCCAACCGTGTGCCTGCTGAAATGCCTGCTCAGCACCAAGCAACTTCTGCTTTCAGTGCATGAAGAAGTTTGCAACAGCCTAGCATTGGGGGCTGGGAGAACTGTGCCAGATAAAGTGTCTCTTCTACAATGGGATTTGAACTAGTGCATCCCCTCCCTCCTTTTAAAGCCATAATTCAGTGCCATAGTGTCCAACCATTCGCAGATGAAAACTGGGACAATTGGGGCCAAGATGGCAAATTATTATAGACTGAAAACACACATGTTAGGAGACGCTACAGGAGTTTTCTTTTGCCTGAGCTTACTGAGAAGAGCAAGGTTCTCCCCTTCTTTTTCTCCTCACCTCCACTAAATTAGTTGAGTACAAACTACTTTTGTACTGGGTTGTTGTAGGTTTTTTTCAGGCTATATGGCCATGTTCTAGAGGCATTCTCTCCTGACGTTTCGCCTGCATCTATGGCAAGCATCCTCAGAGGTACTGAGGTCTGTTGGAACTAGGAAAATGGGTTTATATATCTGTGGAATGACAAGGGTGGGACAAAGAAATCTTGTCTGTTGGAGCTAGGTGTGAATGTTCCACCCTGGTCTTTCCACAGATATATAAACCCATTTTCCTATTTCCAACAGACCTCACTACCTCTGAGGATGCTTGCCATAGATGCAGGAGAAACGTTAGGAGAAATTCTAGATCAGGGTCCTCAAACTTTTTAAACAGAGGGCCAGGTCACAGTCCCTCAAACTGTTGGAGGGCGGATTATAATTTGAAAAAAAAAAGAATGAATTCCTATGCACACTGCACATATCTTATTTGTAGTGCAAAAACACTTTAAACAATACAATAATTAAAATGAAGAACAATTTTAACAAATATAAAATCATTAGTATTTCAATGGGAAGGACCTGCATTTGGCTGATGAGATAGGGTTGTTGTTGTGTGCTTTCAAGTCATTTCAGACTTAGGTTGACCCTGTGCGAGGGCCAGGTAAATGACCTTGGAGGGCCGCATCCGGCCCCCGGGCCTTAGTTTGAGGACCCCTGCTCTAGAACATGGCCATATAGCCCGAAAAAACCTACAACAACCCAGCGATTCTGGCCATGAAAGCCTTCATCAATACTTTTGTACTGGAGATCTTGTTGGCACAATGGGTTAAACCCTTGTGCTGGCAGGACTGCTGACTAAAAGGTCAGCGGTTCAAATCCGGGAAGCGGTGTGAGCTCCCGTCTGTCAGCTCCAGCTTTCCATGAGGGGACATGAGAGAAGCTTCCCACAGGATGGTAAAATATCCGGGCATCCCCTGGGCAACGTCCTTGCAGATGGCCAAATCTCTCACACCAGAAGCGACTTGCAGTTTCTCAAGTTGCTCCGGACACGAGAAAAAAACTTTTGTACTATGAGCTCAGTTTGCAATTAGTGAAGTAATCTAAGAATAAAGTGGAAAATTGGAGAGAGAAACTGGAACATTTTTAAAACAGTTGGGAAAAATGAGATGACAAAGGATTAATTGGGATTGTATCTGCCAAACTTGCACAGTTGGAGTCAGGCCCGTAGTCGGGGGGGGGGGGGGGGGGGGGCTTGAGGCTTCCCCCCCCCCCCCCCCGGAAATTCATGGTGGTCCGCAAGAAGGCCTTACTGGTACATTATTTAAACTGTTATGTTTATTCATATCATGATCTGATCACCATGCTCAATATATCCCATATGCATGGGGATATTGGGATAATGATACAAAAGGTTTGCTAGGGTAGATCCTCAGCCCCCCCCCCCCTTTGAATCAAACTCACCCCCCCCCCCCCCAATCAAAATCCTGGATACGGGCCTGTCATGGAGTATTTGCAGTGTCTGATGGCACAGAGAAGTGTAGCTTTATTTATTTGATACTAGCCGTTCCCTGCCATACGCTGTGGCCCAGTCTGTGTATATGTGTTTTGTGTATATATATATGTGTATATGTGTGTGTATATATTTGTGTATATGTGTATTTATGTGGTTATGCGCATACATTGTAATGTATTTTTTTTTTTGGCTTTTTAAGTCTCTTCTGCTGTGTTTTTCAGTGTTTTATGAGTGATGTTCACTCGTTGGCCTGATAGGTGTATTGTGCTCATATTTGGTGCCAATTTGTCCAGTGGTTTTTCAGTTATGTTAATCCCACAAACTAACATTACATTTTTATTTATATAGATATATTCCTAAACCCTCCTTAAAACTAGGACTCGAGACACAATTTCAACAGGTGTAACTTTCCATGCCAGTGCTATTTCTTTACTTTCAAACTTGATCTAAAGTAAAGTACCATCTTTACTTTCAAAGCTTGATAACTAGAGCAGTGTTTCTCAACCTTCCTAATGTCGCAACCCCTTAACACAGTTCCTCATGTTGTGGTGACCCCCAAACGTAACATTATTTTTGTTGCTACTTCATAACTTCATTTTGCTACTGTTATGAATCGTAATGTAAATATCTGATATGCAGGATGTCTTTTCATTCACTGGACCAAATTTGGCACAAATACCCAATTTTTCCCAATTTTGAATCCCCCCCCCCAATTTGAACTGAGGGGGGGTTGATTTTGTCATTTGGGAGTTGTAGTTACTGGGATTTATAGATTACCTACAATCAAAGAGCATTTTGAACTTCACCAATGATGGAATTGAACCAAACTTGGCACACACAACTCCCGTGACTAACAGAAAATACTGGAAGGGTTTGGTGGGCATTGACCTTGAATTTTGGAGTTGTAGTTCACCTATATCCAAAGAGCACTGTGGACTCAAATAATGATGGATCTGGACCAAATTTGGCACGAATACTCAATATGGTCAAATGTGAACACTGGTGGGGTTTGGGGAAAATAGACCTTGTCATTTGGGAGTTGTAGTTGCTTGGAGTTATAGTTCACCTACAAAGAGCATTCTGAACCCCACCAGCAATAGAATACGGCCAAACTTCCCACATAGAACCCCCATGACCAACAGAAAATACTGTTTTTTCTCATGGTCTTTGACGACCCCTCTGACACCTCTTTGTGACCCCCCAGGGGTCCCAACCCCCAGGTTGAGAACCGCTGAACTAGAGTGTCTCCAATACTGAAGCAGGACAGTGTCACAGTGCCTTGAAAAATTGTTGAACTGACAGCAAATATTCACCTGCTGCATTTTTTGGCAGAACAGGCTCCTTTTTTTACAGAAGTACAGGAAGAAGCTGGGATGAGCTGGTGGCAATGTTCACGGTTTAATATGGCCATGTCTGATTCCGAAAATTGTCAGAGCAGTGGCTGGTATCTTTTGTGGCTGGGCGTTCCAGCTTCAGTGCTGATGGTGAACGGCCTCCTCCTTGCGTTTCCTGAACCCTGAGGTGCGTCACTGCCCAGGAATTCCATTGTTGAGGAAGGCAGGGTGGTGGAAACCCCACACCATTAATTCCTCTCCTTGCTGCCTTTCCAAACAAGTCTCTAGAACTACTCTTGAGTGATGGTGTGCCTACCCTTCAAAGGAACCAGTGGGAGTCCTTTGGGATTTCATAGGATGTTATGGTTGCCGTGTTCTTTGCTCTTTTTTCTCTCCATGTGCTCCTTTGTTTCGGCTTGGCCATAGTTCCTCATTTCCCAGATCGGTGTCCTTTCTTTCTAGGGCTGAACTTACTTAAAAGGCACCATGAAATGAGCTGGTGCAAGAATTGGGTTTTATACTACAGAAAACAGCAGCGAGCGTGTCCATCTTGTTGTATTTTTCAATACAAAAGACATCATTTTGAGATACCTTCCTCTAGCACTAGAATAGTAGTTCTCAACCTGTGGGGAAAATGAACTGTGGGAGTTGAAGTCTAAAACACCTGGAGGGCCAACGTTTGCCCATGCCTGATTTAAACTATCCTAAAAGGAAAGGGCCCGAAGCTGTTAGGAATTGAAGTCCAAAACACCCGGAGGGCCAAAGATTGGAGTGCTGCATCTGGCCTGCGGGTCTTCATTTGAACACCCTGACCTATCCCTTATGCTGAATTTATTGACTGCAAACTCTGTTCACTCTTTGAACTCATTTTGCAGCACTAAGGATGAAGCAACAACTTGGGAGGAGGAGAGAGGAAAATAGACCATTTTAGAAATAAGTTTGTTTGTTTTTTTGTCGTGTCAAGAGCGACTTGAGAGACTGCAAGTCGCTTCTGGTGTGAGAGAATTGGCTGTCTGCAAGGACATTGCCCAGGAGATGCCTGGATGTTTTGATGTTTTATCATCCTTGTGGGAGGCTTCTCTTATGTCCCCGCATGAGGAGCTGGAGCTGATAGAGGCAGCTCATCCACCTCTCCCCAGATTCGAACCTGCGACCTGTCGGTCTTCAGTCCTGCCGGCACAGGGGTTTAACCCACTGCGCCACCGGGGCAAGAGAAAAAGTGGGACTACAGAGGGCTAATTAGAACTGTCCTTGCCAAACATGGACAGTTGGAGGATATGTATTCAGTATGTCAGCTGGTCTCTGCATATTTTCTAACATTTGATTTACAAGGGCAGCCCTGAGAGCCTCTTTACCTTTCTTTCCTCAACTCTAGGAGGCGCTGTCAGTGGTAAGTGAGGACCAGTCCATATTTGACCCATCGTTCAGCACTCCGCACCTTTTGAAGACTGAGCTACCCTCTGTGGATGACTATGGTGGCAAGGAAGGCATCGGTTTGGAGGAGCCCTCGTGGTCAAACCAGGCTAACAACAGAGTCCACGTAGTGAAGCAGGAAAATGAGCAGGTCAACTGCTCCAGCAGGTCAGCTATTTGGGGTTTGGGTGGCCATGTGTGTGCAAATGCTCCAAGAGAAGAGTAATCAACTTTACTTATTTACTTAGGCGAACCCTCGTTGTCCGAGTAGGATAATCTTCCAGGGTGGGTCCATAGGTGACTATGGAGCCCTATTCTTGATCTGCATCTTCTCCTGCAGTGAGGGCATTGGTTTCCAGGTGGAAGGTGGTCCTGGTCGGGGTTGGCTTGACGCGCCTTCCTCTTGGCACGTTTCTCTCTTTTACCTTCCATTCGTGCCTCTTCAAATTCTGCAGCACTGCTGGTCACAGCTGACCTCCAGCTGGAGCACTCACAGGCCAGGGCTTCCCAGTTCTCAATGTCTATGCCAGAGTTTTTAAGGTTGGCTTTGAGCCCATCTTTAAATCTCTTTTCTTGTCCATCAACATTCCGTTTTCCGTTATTGAGTTAGAAATAGAGCAACTACTTTGGGAGACGGTGGGCAGGCATCCAGACAACATGGCCAGTCCAGCGGAATTGATGGCGGAGGACCATCACTTCAATGCTGGTGATCTTTGCTTCTTCCAAGATGCTGACATCTGTCCGCTTGTCTTCCCCTTATTACAGTTTGGCCAAAAGGGATACAAGTACCAGGTCACCACTCAAAATGTACAAGCATAGCTTTACAATAAAACACAAGACATTTTATACACTTTGAGATCTATTCAGACATCCCACACCTCCTCCTGATTGGCTGAGATTGGCTGGAGGTTTCTCTGACATTACTGACAGGATGAGGGGTCCCCATGGTGGGAAAAAGAACAATTGATTATTGGTAGGTTTAAAGGTCTGTTGCAGATACACAGGTCTCTGCAACAGGTCTGTTACATGGTGTGAAACTGAAGGGGATATGACGTGGATATACAGAAGATTCCTTGATTGAATTACGTGTCCAGTTCTGAGAAGGCAAAAGTGCAAGACCCAGAAAACAAAAGGTGGTAACCCTGGATAACCAGAGGGTTATAATAATAAAATAAAACTTTATTTATATCCTACCCTATCTCTCCTAGGGAACTTAGAGCGGTTTCCACATATACAAAATAATACAAAAACATACAATATAAAACAAAAACATAGGCATAAACTGTTAACACAACATATATATTAAAATCAATTTGAAACCAGTTCTGCTGTCTTCTTCATGCAAGGTAAGCTGCCAGGGGCCTGGACTATTTGGAATGGACTGGGCCAAGGCTAGTGCAAGGAGAAGGGGAAAATGGGGCTGGCTGAATGCTACAGTGCAAGGATTGGTCTCAGCAATGGCTCTACTAGGGGACCGGGGCCACTCAATTCCAAGGCCAATTAAAGGACTGTAAAAAAGGTCTGGGTTGGAAGAAAAGGTGCCCTCAGATGACAGGGAACTGGGGAATGGATGGGGTAGAAGGTCAGGTCCTAACTGTTGGATCAAGGGCTTCAGATTTGAGACTAGTCATTATCGAAGGCCTGATGAAACCACCAAGTTCTTACGGAAGGAGGTGAGGAATGGGGCCTGCCTTATCTCTTTGGGGAGGGCATTCCAGAGGCCACCACCAAGAAGGCCCTCTCCCTCGTCCCCACCAACCCTCTGAGAAGGTTCATGTGTTCATATTTGTTTTAACCTTCTCTTCCATGGAAACTATACACTTGCAGTCATAACAGGTAAACAGCATATGCCCATCTGCGATAATAAAGGGATTCTTCCTCACATACATACAGAAAGGATATGGTATTATCTGGCTTGGGAAACAGCTGGAGGGACCTTTCTTAATTGTTTAGTGAGTCCGTTCCCAGAAGCTTATGTAAATAGGGGCACTGGGGAAGCAGATGCCTTCATAATACATTTGATACAGTTTTATACATTTAGGAATTGATACAGTACACAAACAATGCAAGTTACACAAGAAATATTATTTTATTACATTTATTAAAGGGTTTAGCTATGATATAGTTTGGGGTACAGTTGTTACTGAGTCCTCCTGAAGCCCCCAGAGGCTTCGACACTGCAGAACTTTGAAATATCGGAAAAGGTTTTAAAAATAAAGGAAAAAAAATGTATACCTTATTTGAAGTTTCATTAATGTCCACAGATAATTAGGGATGTGTGTGTGTAATGGCTCAACAACATTATCAAGAAGAGAGAAATGTTTGTTGCCAAATTTTTGGTACCCCAACTTTGATGTAAGGGGATCCCAATTGAAGTCAGAATCCACAGTTTTAAAAAGCAGTGAGTTGCTTACTCATTGTGTTTTGGAAATTTCTGGCCCCCTAAAAGGCATTTTGGAAATCTGGGGGCTATTTTTTTCTCATGCAAATTGGCCCCTGGGGGCCACCAAAATAACTATGGAGGGCTACATTTTGCTCGCTCCAGTTCTAAAGGCTGTACTTAGGCCCCTTCCACACAGCTGAATAAAATCCCACATTTTCTGCTTTGAACTGGAATATATGGCAGTGTGGACTCATATAACCTAGGGCCCTTCCACACAGCCCTATATTCCAGAATATCAAGGCAGGAAATCCCACATTATCTGAGTGTGGACTCATATAAAGGAGACATTGTGGGATTTTCCACCTTGATATTCTGGGATATAGCACCTGTCTAGAAGGTCCCCCAGTTAAAAGCAGATATTGTGGGATTTGTTGTCTTGATATTCTGGGTTATACAGCTGTGTGGAAGGGCCCATAGATAGCTATTTCTTTCTGCAGCATTGAACTCAGGGGTATAGTATCTGGAGCTCACCAGACATTGTTGGATACAAACTCCTATTATCTCCGACCGTTAGCCATCCAGCTATAGAGACATTATAGCATCACAGGGCCCATATTTTGATGGGGAGAGGAATGAGGCACCCCTTGCCTGGATCTGCCTTGGGACCTGAGGGTGACACTGGAATAGCAGTCCCCTTTTTGCCTTTTCACCTTAGCCATATAAGTAGGTCCTGGACGTATCTTCTGCTAAATTTGTGGCAGCTCACACAAACCCACAGGAAACAGCTCACTTCCCCTCATCAAAACAGCTTGTATTAGTAGCCTGGCATCAAGAAATAGGGCAAAAAAGAGGTCAGCACAGTTCAGACCAAGAGCTTTCTAACATTTATTGAGCCGAAATGGAGAGCTGGTGGCCACGGTCATCCGTGCCTGGAGGCCACCATGCCAGGAAGGGTAGCTTGGTAAAGCCTTCAGAAAGGCAAAGTGAGGACAGGGAGACAGATTTTGGAGATATATATCATTGTATTATCTTGAAAATAATTAATGCTTCGATTTGTTATATTGGATTTTTAAAGTACCCCGTTGCATTACCCACCCATTGCTTTTTTTGGCTGCTTTTTGTTACGTAAAGTAAAATGCAGTGTTCTAGAATGTATAAGAAGGTGGGATAAAAGTTCCAAAAAGTTCTGTTAAAAAAAATCTTAAAATATGTTAAAAGTCCGTTTAGAAATACGTTCTTCAAAATGTTTTGAAAGGTATGTAAAAACATACATTGTGATACCTACCTATCATCATTATCATCTTTATTTATATCCCACCTTTCCCCCCATGGGAACTCAAGGCGGCTAACATCTATCCACACTAGACATTTGAAAAGAGCAATGCAAAAGTAAAAAAAAAAAACCCCAATTAAATAGTAACAATGTGGTAAAAACAGAATTGAAATACAGTAACTGGTAGCGCGGCAAGTTACACCACTGAGCTGCTGACTGAAAGGTTGGTTCTCTGAGCAGGGTGAGCTCCCGCTCTTAGGCCCAGCTTCTGCCAACCTAGCAAACATGCAAGTGTGAGTAGATCAATAGGTACGCTTCTGCGGGAAGGTAATGGTATTCCATTGTCTACAGACAATGCTGGCTCTTCAGCTTAGAAATGGAGATGAACACCACTCCCCAAAGTCGGACACGACTAGACTTAATGTCAAGGGAAACCTTTACCATTACTTTACTAAATGCACTAAAATGGCCTTTAAAACTCATATCAATAAAACGACTTTGAGTCCATTACACAGTAATTCCTACCCACCCCTGTAACTCATAACTACAGTATTTGTAACTTCCAAGGCCTGGAGACAAATAAAACTAATGTGAATCCAAGTAAACATCAAGAGTCAAAGAAGTCAGTGTGTGTTTGCACGCAATATTTATAGATGTATTTTTATTTATAGGACAGATATTCTCCTTTTCAACTTTTCAACTCCCTTTCAAAGGAGAAGTACAGCAGTACAGAGTAGCAATAATAGTAATAATAACAGTCTCTCAAAATATTGTTTATCTTACATTACAACAACAGCTACAACAACAGTAATGACAACATTCAGCTATCACCATAAACCATGTTTTATCACAACAGAACAAGCCTATTTCCTGACCCTCTCTAAGGTACACAGAATTGAAATTTTCTGCTTCTGTTGATTCACCAGTCATCTGAATCTGAGAAACTATAGTTGATCTTAAGTATGGTTTGAAACAACCAGGAGTGGCATCACCATTAAGTAGACTGAGGCCCCTTCTACTCTGCCATATATAAAATTTATTTATTTATTTACAGTATTTATATTCCGGATTCAGGGTGGATTATAATGCACATACCCATGGCAAACATTCAGTGCCATTTAGGCATGCAACATATATAGACAGACATGAGGCGATTTAACATTCCAGCGTTTCCAGCTTCATGTGGGCATGCTTGGTTCTGGCCACAAGGGGAGCTACTGCTTCACCATCCACTTGTGACACCGGGTCCTTTGATGGAGTATTTCCTCATTCTTCTGCATGCTGCTGGAAGGTTTATGGCATCGTAAATTAGTTAAATGAGCCTCCCTGCATAAAATGGTACCTAAATTTCCTACTTGACAGATGCAACTGTCTTTTGGGCTGCATAGGTCGACAACAAGCTAGACTATTAATGGTTGGGAGCTTACTCCGACCCGGGCTGGCTTCGAACTCATGATCTCTCAGTCAGTAGTGATTTAATGCAGCTGTCTACTAACTAGCTGTGCCACAGCCCGGTTATCTGCTTTGAACTGATTATATGGCAGTGTAGACTCAGGCCCCTTCTGCATTGCCATATAATCCAGATTATCAAAGCAGCTAATTCACATTATCTGCTTTGAATTGGATTATATGCCATATAATCCAGTACAAAGCAGATAATCTGGATTTTATATGGCAGTGTAGAAGGGTCTGAGCTGCTACCCAGGCGGCAATTTTTAGGTGTCAGGACAATGCAGTGAATTGTTAGCTATTTCCATTGCTATTATATTTTAACTGCCAGGAAAGGAAAGAGATGTTCAGAATCAATCAGGGCCAGCTAACACTCTCAAACAAAGGATCACCTCCAGGCAGGAAGCAGCCAGGCTTTGAAGCAGCAAGACCATTCAATGCTTATCAAGGTCCAGCATTTCTGTGTTCTCAAATCATATGCTGTGTCCAGGTTAGTTCATCAGAATCAATCAGGGCCAGCTAAAACTTCCAAACAGAGGATCGTCCCCAGGCAGGGAGCAGCCAGACTTTGAAGCTGCAAGACCATTCAATGCTAATCAAGGTCCAGCATTTCTGTGTTCTCAAATCATATGCTGTGTCCAGTTTGGTTCATCAGAATCAATCAGGGCCAACTAACACCTTCCAACAAAGGATTCCCCCAGGCAGGATGCAGCCAGGCTTTGAAGCTGCAATTCAGAGCCTTATGTTATTGTGTTGTTATTTTTGCTGTTTTGTATTCATTCTATTGTAATTGTATTATGTAAGCTGCCCCAAGTCCCCTTTGGGGAGATGGTGGTGGGGTATAAATAAAGTATATTATTATTAAGGGACAAAATAACTAGTTTGGGTAAGGCACATCAAGATTTTGGGTGGATGTTCTTCCACTTCAGGCAACAAGGCACTTGATCCTGTTGTTTAAAGAACAGATGTCTCACAGGCCTCTTTTTTATTTCCACCATGAAATGTAGAAATAATACGTTGTTTGAGGAGAACAAACTCCTAGTTCTCAAGGACAACATTCAACCTGGCTGTCCAATGAAATGCCTATCTCTTTCCCTTCAGCAAACCATCTCCCGTGGACTGTAGCGTGACCCGGAGGAGCAAGGCAGTTGTCCCTTCCCAGGTATCCTATCCAGGCGGATACAACAGCCAGCGTAACAGCCCTCCCATCAACCCTCCCAGTGAGGAGAAGAGAGTTATTGTCCCAGCAGGTAGGTATCAGATGATATAGCCCTCTTCCTTTCCTGACTCTTGCTGAATGTTAGATCAAATTTGAATTGAGACCTGAAGTTGTCTAGATGTTGTTAGGCATCCACTTGCCATTTTGCCTAATATACAGGCAATATGGAGGCACTTTTGGTTTGGGACAAGTAGATGCACCCTATAGAAAGGTCATGCAATAAATGGCTCCTGATCCCTATGCGATTGCTTTATTCTAGAACAGGTATGGGCAAACTTCAGCCCTCGAGGTGTTTTGGACTTCAACTCCCACAATCGGGATTGTGGGAGTTGAAGTCCAAAACACCTGGAGGGCCGAAGTTTGCTCATGTTTGTTCTAGAGCCTATTTCATAGTCTTAAGGTTTTGATCAATTACAATTCTTTAAAAGTTCTCGTGAAATCAAAAGCTTATGTTGTCTTATTGCTGAGTTTGACATTTCCATAGTCTTACCTCTCTTTATAGTAGTCATATATCTCTGAATCCAGTTTGGCAGCTTTGTACTTTGCCCTGCAATATCCTCATGCTATTACTCCAAAATTTGTCTCTCTCCTACAGATCCTGGTGTGTGGACGCATGATCATGTCCGTCAGTGGCTGGACTGGGCAGTGAAGGAGTACGGCCTTGTGGATATCGAGATCAGCCTCTTTCAACATATAGATGGCAAGGAGCTGTGCAAACTTGGCAAGGAAGGTTTCCTACGCCTCACCACACCATACAATGCAGAAGTGTTGCTGTCTCATCTCTCCTACCTGCGCCAAAGTAAGACCCGGGGCAGGATTGTGGTTGGAGACAAATTCCACCCTTGGATATTGGAGCCGAGGTCAGGGAGGTACAGGGTATCCAAAAAGCTATATGAGGCCCATAATCTCACAGGGAAATGTATGTATTGACTATATTTATAACCCACTCTCTCTCTAACCCTGAAGGGGGCTCAGAGTGGCTTATAAGTAGGCAACCATTCAATGCCACGTAAACAGACATACAAATAAAATAAAGTGGCCACGTGACCTTGGGGGTGTCTATGGACAATGCCGACTCTTTGGCTTAGAAATTGAGATGAGCACCAACCCCCAGAGTCGGACACGACTGGACCTAATGTCAGGGGACAACCTTTACCTTTACTATACATTAAAAACCATAAAGCTAAAAACATCAAAGCTTTAAAACCAATTATTAAAACCACGCAATCCAAAATCGTAGTCCAGGAGCCATTCCGGTAATAATTGCACTTATTGCACTGAATTTACTGTTCAAAGACTTGCTCCCACATCCATGTGTTTAATCTCTTTCTAAATATCAGGAGGGAGGGAGCTGATCTGATATCGCCTGGGGAAGGAGTTCCACAGCCGAGGTGCCACCACTGTGAAGACCCTGTCTCTCATCCTCACCAACCATACCGGTGAAAGAGGTGGGACTGAGATCAGGGCCTCCCCAGAAGATCTGAACCTCCGAGGTGGTTCATATACGGAGATACGTAAGCTGGGCCAGAACCATTTAGAGCAGTGGTTTCTAACCTTTTTTTGACCAGGGACCCCTTTGACCAGGGACCACTTGACCAGGGACCACTTGACCAGAGACCCTTTGACCAGGGACCACTTGACCAGGGGCTACTTGACCAGGGACCACTTTGACCAAGGACCACTCTTCAACATTAGTACCAGAAGGGTTACAAATCAGTTTTTGGTCAACTTTAGATTCGGTTTGGGGGGCTGATTCAGAAAATTGCACTGGATAGACCACATCAGCTCTAGTTTCTGATGCAGAACATATGCCATGGTCAGCGACAGAGAAGGAGTGGCAGGCAGCATGAAAAGAGTACGAAAAAAAATTAAAAATAAAAAGGAAGGAGACTCACAGACCAGATTTTTGTCCTTGCGGCCCACAGGTTAGGAACCACTGGTTTAGGGCTTTATAGGGTAAAGCCAACACTTTGAATTGTGCTTGGTAGCAGACTGGCAGCAAGTGGCCCCAGCCCAATTTATCTGTCCAAATGCATCTTGATCTATGAACCATCACGGAGATTAAGATCCTCCAGGGAGGCCCTGCTCTCCATCCCGCCAGTGTTGTAGGCACAAATTGGTGGGGATGAGAGAGGGGGCCTTCTCAGTGATTGCCCCTCGGCTACGGAACTCCCTTCCTGGTGAGATCAGATCAGCCCTCTCCTATCCTTCAGAAGGATAGTAAAAACTTGGCTGTGGGACCAAGCTTTTGGGACAGTACAATAAGGCAGCAATACGAAAACTTACCATGCCAACCAGAGTTGATGCAGATGATTGAGACGGTTTTAACAGTGGTTTTTAATGCTGAGATAAATGATTTTAAAGTTTATGTATGCATATAGTCTATTTATGTCCCGGGATTGAATGTTTGCTGTTTGTATGTTGTGCTCTGCCCTGAGTCCCCTTCAGGGTGAGAAAGACAGAATATAAATGTTAAAAATAAATAAATAAATAAGTTTTGATTAAAGTTTATTTTTAGATTAACATTGTTTATTATTCTTTAACTTTGTGGTCCCTTCTAACAACAACAACAACAAAATCAAAGTTGTCCCTGTCAAAAAAAGGTTGGGAACCATGGGTACAGATGATATTGCTAAGTAGACACCATTTATTCCTTTGTCTTTGAGATCAAAATGTCTTGGCCATGTTTTGCTAATCACTTTTCTGTTTTTCTTTCTCCACAACAGGCAGCCCCACTTTTACGTATCCATCTGCTCCAGTCATTACGCAGCAACCACCCCCTCCACCACCAAGAACCCAAGTCAAAACCGGTGAGCTGATGCTACAGCCATTGCCTATAGTAAAAACATAGTTGTTCTGAACCATTCCGAAGATCCTACTGATAATAGTTGGTCCTCCATATTCACAAAATCTGCACCCACAGATTCTGCCATTGGCAACCTGTAAATATTCATTTTCCCACACACACAAAAAAACCCCAAACAAATATTGATTTTGCCATTTTGTAAAAGGGACGCCACTTTACTGCACCATTTTATATAATGGGATTTGAGCCTTTGGTAACCACAAGGGCCCTGGAACCAAATCACAGTGGATACCACTCTTATGGAGCCTCTGGTGGCGCAGTGGGTTAAAGCACTGAGCTGCTGAGCTTGTTGACCAAAAGGTCGCAGGTTCAAATCCGGGGAGCGGAGTGAGCTTCTGCTATTAGCCCCAGCTCCTGCCAACTTAGCAGTTCAAAAACATGCAAATGTGAGTACATGAGAGTAAATGAATAGGTACCGCTCCGGCAGGAAGGTAACGGTGCTCCATGCAGTCATGCCGGCCACATGACCTTGGAGATGTCTATGGACAACGCCGGCTCTTCGGCTTAGAAATGGAGATGAGCACCACACCCTAGAGTTGGACATGACTGGACTTCATGTCATGGGAAAACCTTTACCTACCACTCTTATGCTGGCATGAGGTGCATGTGGGAATATTGTGGAATGCATATGATAAATGTGTACTTTAACTTGGCAAGAAGTACCAGTAGATTGAATTGAGGATAAAGATTATTTATGTATTTATTTTTCATGGTAAATCAGTGGTTCCCAACCTATGGTCTGTGGACCACCAGTAGTCCGCAAGAACAAAAATATGGTCCGTAGCTTCACCATTATTACACCATTGTCTCAAAACAATGTGGCAACAAGAGAGATTGGTCTCATGAAACACTCTTATAGTGCCGAGGCAACGGGGATGTCAGGAGGGGAAAGGCGGACTACCCACAAAAGATTACTACTACCACATCAGCTCTTGTTGCTGTTCATGCATTCAGTCGTTTCCGACTCTTTGTGACTTCATGGACCAGTCCACACCAGAGCTCCCTGTCGGCCGTCATCACCCCCAGCTCCTTCAAGGTCAATCCAATCACTTCAAGGATAGCATCCATCTATCTTGCCCTTGGTTGGCCCCTCTTCCTTTTTCCTTCCATTTTCCCCAGCACAACTGTCTTCTCTAAACTTTCCTTTCTTCTCATGATGTGGCCAAAGTGCTTCATCTTAGCCTCTACTATTCTTCCCTCCAATGAGCAGTCAGGCTTTCTTTCCTGAAGTATGGACTGGTTGGATCTTCTCGCGGTCCAAGGCACTCTCAGAACTTTCCTCCAGCACCACAGTTCAAAAGCATCTATCTTCCTTCGCTCAGCCTTCCCTAAGGTCCAGCTCTCACATCCGTAGGTGACTATGGGGAATACCATTGCTTTAACTATGCGGAGCTTCGTTACCAGTATGATGTCTCTACTCTTCACTATTTTATCAAGATTGGTCATTGCTCTCCTCCCAAGAAGTAAGTGTCTCCTGATTTCCTGGCTGCAGTCTGCGTCTGCAGTAATCATTGCATCTCGAAATACAAAGTCTGTCACTGCCTCCACATTTTCTCCCTCTATTTCCCAGTTGTCAATCATTCTTGTTGCCATCAGCTCTAGATTATTAAATATGGTTTTGTGTTGGTGAGCAGATGGTGACTACTGGATGGCATATGGTCTGTATCAGAAACTAGAGCTGATATGGTCTATCCAATGCAATTTTCTGAATCGGCACCCCAAATAACCAAACCAAATCTAAAGTTGACCAAAACCTAATTCGTACCCTTTTGGTATTAATGTTGGAGAGTGGTCCTGGTCAGAGTGGTCCCTGGTCAAAAAAAGGTTGGGAACCACTGTGGTAAATGTTGATAAAATACATAGTTGCTTCTCCTGTTTTCCAAAATTGTACTTTTGAACCCTGCTGTGGATGATTTATCTTGCCCTTGAAATGCCCTTGAAATGGCACCTTTGTCTAAGTTGGGCAACTTTTCTTCTCTTTTGGTCCAGAGTCTCCATATGAGGAAATACGGAGGAGCAGCTGGGGCAGTGGCCCTATCAGTGCATCTTCCAAAGGTACCATTCCTTTCGCAGAAGGGACATTGTGAAGGTCTCCAATTTTAATTGGATTGAGTCTTGTAGTGAAAAAAAGCATTAAATAGGCTCCCCCACCCCCAATTTCTAAATGAGAAAAAAGCCTATTTGTAGGTCTTTTAAAAGTTTTTTTTATTATATTGTTTGCCACTACCTCAACTAAACTGCAACTCTCAACTTAACTGCAATCTTTTTTATAATAGCTGGGGAGATATGGACTATATATTATTACGATTTATCCCTATTGTCTTGGTTTTGAATGAGTAATTGAGGCCTCTTAGTTTGACAAAGACCTGCAAGTCATAGAGAGACTGGTTTATTTTTATTTATTTATTTTTTCATGTCAGGAGTGACTTGAGAAACTGCAGAGTTGCTTCTGGTGTGAGTTTATTGATGTACATCAATAAAGTTCCCTCACACTTTTGAGCCCCCACTGGCACAATGGGTTAAACCCTTGGGCCGGCAGGACTGAAGACCGACAGGTCGAAGGTTTGAATCTAGGGAGAGCACAAGTGAGCTTCCTCTGTCAGCTCTAGCTTCCTATGCGGGGACATGAGAGAAGCCTCCCACAAGGATGGTAAAACATCAAAGCATCTGAGCATCCCCTGGGCAACGTCCTTGCAGACGCCCAATTCTCTCACATCAGAAATGACTTGCAGTTTCTCAAGTTGTTCCTGACATGAAAAAAAAAAAAACCTCTTTAGAGTATCCTAGAGTGTATTCCTATGGGGTTTGCTGATATAGGTGCCTGCACATAACAATTTAGCACTCTTTCTTGCTTCATTTAAGTTGTAAATAACTCATGTGAGTGCTGTTTCAGAAAAATAAGTGTTCCAATTTTTTTGGTACTTTATAGCCAAATACAACTGGAGTAGTGGAGGGTTTCTATTAAGGAATACCAGTTTGAATGGCTTATATGAGAGGCAACTTGTCTCTCTGTACCCAATTCCTAGCGACCAACACTGAGATAGAACTAATGTTGATTCTGCTGTTGGGATGCCACTTGATCAATATGGGATATGCCAGGCTAGATTTGGGATGGACTTAAGAGATTTTGCTTCCCGAAAGAACAAGATAGAGCCCCCGTCCATTCCATGTACTGAAACTGCTTTACACATATTCCAGCCAAACTTTCCTATCAAAAAAACACAGCGCAGACAGTTAAATAAGGCCATTTAATCACAGAAGCATTGTCATTTGTTGCTCTCTTTAATGCTTCCTTTTCTTCTCTTCCACCTTTGAGGTTCCCCACCACAGATCCAGAGTGTGAGTCGAACTCCAGATTCAACACGTGTTGCACCAGGTACGTTTTTCCCCCAAAGGAATTTCTACCTTTTCCTATCTTAGGACTGCCAGCTTTTAAAATAAGCCCCTGTTCCTGAGCCTTTAACGGTATCATGATCTGTACAGTATATTGCATTTCCATGCTGAGAACTTCACTTGGGAACAAGTGGCTCTCCCATTGTTGAATGACTGTTTCAACCAACCTTCAGCACTGGCCAGATGAACTGAGGATGATGGGAGTCCAGCAATGTCTAGAGAGCAAAAGATTCCTCAGCTTTGACCTTCTCCTTTCTGTAGATCCAAGTGTTAAAGAAACAAGAGCAAACTGAGCTGATTTTTTTTCCTGATCACATGACTATTGGTCTTGTGGGGCTTTTGGATTGATGGTTTGATGGTGGCAGTAAAGATATTCTTAGAATGGTCTCTGAGCAGCTTCTTTTGCTCTTGTAGATGATAGAAAGGGACACTGTGGATACTTTCACATCACATAGGGCCCATCCAGACAATACCTTTATCCCAGGAGTTTCCGCAGCAAACAGGAAGGTGGCCAGATGCCATTCCCTGTAAACCCAGAAGCAATTGCTACAAAAGGCAAAAAACGTGAGATTTCCAGGTGTGGGAATATCCAGATCTTCATATGTCTGGATGTCCTTGCAATCGGAAATCATGAGATTTTTATTATCTGAGTTTGTTAGATGCTTGTTCCTGATTGGTTGGTTCCTAAAAAGAAGGTGACACTTGAGTAGAAGGCAAAAAGTTTGTTTATGTGCCAGAAACTTCATGAAATGTGTGGCAGGCACAGTTTCTCTGACCTGCACAGACTGGAACTTTTGCGGTGAATCAGATAACCGAATCTCCGCACATCCGCATCTGTAAAAAAACTGCCGGTTTCCAACAAAAGTCCCATTTTGGCCATCTTGGGAGCCTCTAAATCTCAGAACAAAACATCATGTCTGGACAACAGAGGCAGAAATCCCGGGTCTGTATGTGGACCTCTTCTGAAATCCCGGGATTTATTGCCCTTCACTAAAACCCGTGTTTTAGTGCCGTTTGGAAGCGCCCTAAGTAAACGGCAGAAGAAGGGAAATAAAAAACGTGGAGGATTTTGTCTTTACTGCCTGGATGTTCTGTGTTGTAGAAAGTCAACCTCAACCTTCTTCAGATTTTTTTGTATGTAAAGTAGACAGATAAGATGATCTATCAAATAGAAGATGCCTTCCATTAAGGGACTGTTCTATGTGAAGTAAGACTGATTGCTACCCTAGGCAGGCCAGGAGTAGGACTGTCAGACAAATATTGGAGAAGGCTCCTGCAACTTTAATAATTGAAGGGGATTTCAGCCAGGATTGCTGGTCATGTAAGCAACATCTGGTGGACTTCTACACAACCATTAAAAGAGCAGGAGTACCAGCTATTACTCTGTACCTATCAACTCAATGTTTTGTCTGTGTCCCTAAACATATAGACAGACACAATATCAGGGTTGTTTCATCTGCTGAGCTGTTTTTATAGAAGCATAGACCTTTTCAGTCCAGAGGTACATTCAGTCATGAGAGAACTGTTTGTATTCTGAAGTAGCCTAGCCCATCAGAGGTAGGCTGAACCTCCAAGTAGGGCTTTCCAGGTATTGGGAAGAGGCAGAGCTGTAGATGGGGAGAGAATCTTGGAGTGCGTTTGACTCTAGTCCCTCTCTGATTCCCTTCTCATTCTCACCAGATCCATACCAGGTCCTGGGACCCACCAGCAGCCGCTTGGCAAACCCAGGTGGGTCCAAATGTCTCTTATTTGGAGGGATTGGGGGACATGTAGAAATTGCTTAGGGGGTTCCTTCTTTTCCATGCAGAGAACATTAGGGAAGAAACATTCTGTCTGTTGAATGTTTGCTATAGTTTCAGATCAAGAATTCATGGGGTAGCTAGCAAATATATGGTATTTGTTGTAGAGGCAATAAATCTAGATAAACTAGCCAAGCCATCTTATTTAGAGGAAGATCAAGCAAAAAAGAATGGTGGGAGTTACGTGCAAGCTTGGTTACACTGATCTCCAGTGGTCTTCTCCATTGCATTACCCTCTGGATGTGTTTGACTACCAATCCTAGCGTACCTCAAGCAAACTGAAAGGTATAGTCCAATACATATAGAAGGCATCAAGTTGGGGAAGGTTAGTGGTTCTCAAACTTGAGGTTCTGAGATGTTGGGTTTGAACTCCAAACAACATGGCCAGTGATCAGGGATTCTGGGAACTGTAGTTAAAAACATCTGAATTCAAGATTGTTCTTCCTGTCTGGCCAGTCTGGTTGGCAATCCGTGTCCTCTCTCTGTGCACATGTGAATTCACTCGGCCTGCCCTGCTACAAACCGAACTTAACGCTGTTGTTGTCTCCCTGACAGGCAGTGGGCAGATCCAGCTGTGGCAGTTTCTCCTGGAGCTGCTGTCCGACAGCAACAATGCCAGCTGTATCACTTGGGAAGGAACAAATGGCGAGTTCAAAATGACAGATCCTGATGAGGTGGCGAGGCGATGGGGCGAGCGCAAGAGCAAGCCCAACATGAACTATGACAAGCTGAGCCGGGCACTACGCTATTACTATGACAAGAGCATCATGACCAAAGTTCATGGCAAGCGTTATGCCTACAAGTTCGACTTCCAGGGCATCAACCAAGCCCAGCAAGGGCAGCCCGGAGAGCCTGCCCTGTACAAGTACCACCACACGGACTTACCCTATCTTCCTTCTTACCACCAGCAGAAAGTGGGTTTTGGCTTGAGCCACACCAATCAAATGCCCACCTCATCCACTGGTTTCTTCGGGGCACCTTCCCCTTACTGGAATTCCAGCAGTGGAAACATCTACCAAAGTCCCACCATGCCACGGCAGAGTCCCTACTACTAGTCAGCAAGGGGTCCAGAGATACTTGAACTTTTTCTGTCAAAACTTGCCACTCAAACACCAGTCAATTCCAAGAACCACAAAGAGGGGTGGTGAGTACCTAACCACAAGCAATGGGACTCTCCCTTCCCTCTGCTCTCTCTGCAAAGCCATTTGTTTTTCTTACATACCATGGGACATGGCTGGAACCCCTAAATGGCTGGATCTTCTATTTGCACATATAATTTGGAAGGAACTAAGTGTTAGAAGAAACAAGGAGTTGCATTGTATCTCTAAAATCTGTATCCCTTGGTATGAGGGATTGCTTGCTTATTAATGTTTATTGCCAAATTGCCTTGGGCAATGCCCAGAAGCCAACTAGACTGTGTCTTCATACCTATTTCAAAACTAGTGGAGCAGCAGTGCCCCACACTGTTTCAGAGGGCATCAGGCAAGCTTAGGGGACAAAGTACAAACCATCTCACACCTTGGTCCAAATATCAGGTCTTTGTCACCATCTGAGGCAGATGCTACAACCTACCTTATGACAGTGTTGCCCCTAAAATTTTCACTTTAAATGTAATAAATTGTAATGCATTCATAGTCATAAAACCAAGCAGTGTACTTCTGTACTGCTGTCAGTCAGTGGCTTGAAGCTGAAGTGGAGAAGTACACAGCCAATGCCATCACTTTTAGAGTCTCACTTATCCGACATAAACGGGTTGGCAGAATGTCGGATAAACAAAAATGTCATATAATACAGAGTCTTCTACTGTTACCTGTCCAACGCGGCACTAGACACTTAGAATACTAACAACAGGAACTCAAAGGGCCAAAGCAGTGGTTCCCAACCTGTGGGTCCCCAGATGTTTTGACCTTCAACTCCCAGAAATCCTAACAGCTGGTAAATTGCTTGGGATTTCTGGGAGTTGTAGGCCAAAACACCAGGGGACCCACAGGTTTAGAACCACTGGGTTAAGGCATGGCAATGCCTCAGGGCTAGAGCAGCCCAGCAAGAAATGCCCAGATGTGTAAGAGGAGGGGAGGAGGGAGGAGGGAGAATGCTTCTGCTTCCGGTCCTGTTTCTTTTCTCCCTTTCCTCCCTCCTCTTCCTCCTTGTCTTACCTTTTTCACTTATTGGGAATGGAGAGGGAGTTGGGGAGCACTCCTTTAATTGAAGGGGGACTGCTGGAGGAAAAGGGAGGTGTCGGATAAGAGCGTCGGATAAGACGGAATGTTGGATAAGCGAAGGGCGGATAAGCAAGACTCTACTGTATTACATTTTTGGTAAGCTTCAGCTTTTTCAGCATTAGGGCCCATGTTGGGCTCAAATATACTTTTGTGGGCCCACAGCAATTTTCCCACAGATGTTTTGGTGGTAGATCATCGGAGTAGCCCATCTTCAATTAGCTTTAATGGACTTGACCAATCTCCCAGCAGACCAGACCAGTGCTAGACTAAAAAAGACCAGGGAGAGAAATACACAAGATAGGTGCTCTGATCTTTCTTGTAACATCAAATTTCCTCTAGAGTTAAAAACATTTGGTGGGGTGAGATATAAACGTGATGGGAATGATCCAAAATGGCCTTTACTATTTTGCTTTGTCCTGTAGGCAACATCTGCCATCTGTTTGGGGAAAGAGCAGCAACTGGGGAGTGTCACTACTATTGCGTCTACCCCTTATAGCCAGTTTTTTTTTTATTATAATGGGTTGTTGTAGATTTTTCAGGCTATATGACCATGTTCTAGAAGCCTTTTCTCCTGACGTTTCAAACCCTGCATCTATGGCAGGCATCCTCAGAGGTTGTGATGCAGACAAAATGTCAGGAGAGAATGTTTCTAGAACATGGTCGTATAACCCGAAAAACCTACAACAACTCAGTGATTCCGACCATGAAAGCTTTTGGCAATACATTTATTATTCACACCTAACTGCAGCAGGGAAGAGCTCCTTGCCCCACCCCAGCCATTCCACAGATATATAAACCCATTGTCCTAATTCCAACAGACCTCACTACCTCTGAGGAAGCTTGCCATAGATGCAGGCGAAACGTCAGGAGAAATGCCTCTAGAACATGGCTCCATAGCCCGAAAAAACCCACAAGAACCATTTATTATAATGTTTTCATTTCGTGATTCTTGTTCTTTGGAGAAAGATGAAGTATGACAAAAGATGCCTATAAATACATATGTGAAATTCAATAATAAATTTGGAAGGAAATTTGGTCTGCCTTAAGCATTAGGAAATTAAGAATTCAGCTTAGAACAGATGTGGAAATCTGGCCCTCCAGGTGTTTGGGACCACAACTTTCATAATCCTTTGCTACTGACTGGTGGGAATTTTCATAGAAACATAGCATCATAGAGTTGGAAGAGACCTCATGGGCCATCCAGTCCAACCCCCTGCCAAGAAGCAGGAAAATTACATACAAAGCACCCCTAACAGATGGCCATCCGGCCTCTGTTTAAAATCTTCCAAAAAAGGAGCCTCTACCACACTCCGGGGCAGAGAGTTCCACTGCTGAACAGCTCTCACAGATATAAAAGAAGCAGTTTCCTGTGCTTCTTTTATATTGAGGTTAAAACTTTTGATTTTCTAGATGTTTTGGAGTTAAATTCCCAGAAGTGCCAACTAGCATAACTAAAGGGAATGGATGGTGGGAGTTGGAAGTTCAGGACATCTGGAAGTCCACGGTTTCTCTACTACTGTTTTACCATCTCCTTTTCTTTCCCCTTCAATGAAATATGATCAGATTCATTTCATGAAGAGGGAATGGTTTAAAACTGCTTTTGTCTGCAGTTTAGATATTCACGAGGTAAAAAGCATGTGACACCAATCTCTAGCAAAATGAGGCAACAGAGCAGACAGCATCATGTGAAGAACTGGGTTGTTTTTCAGAGTGATCCATAAAAGACAAGTATCTGAAGGACCACATATGATCCACACCTCTTTTAAGACTTTAGGGAGACGGGCAAAATGGGACATCCAGCCAATTATATAATTTGGAGCTAAATTCAGCAAAAGAGGGAGACATGCTACCACAACAAATTGAATGTGAAAAGTCCGAAGAGCCTTGGATCTCAGCAAGAACAAAAGGAATGACAGATTCCAAATGTCTGTTTTGTTGTTGTGCCACCTCAATTCCTTTGTATGTTCACATTACTTTAGAGTGGGACTTGCTGACAATAATTCAGCACAAGGGAATTCTTAGAAGGTGGAGAACAAAAATACCAGAGTATTTTTATTGCAGTTATCAATAATTAAGTCTTAGGATGGGAGAAACGACAAAAATTAGGAAATTGTCAAATTATTGTGTCTTGGGGAAATGGTGCTCCCATTAAAAGTGCCTAAATATGTAAAAAATGTATGCTTGTGAATACACCTTCTAACAAATCACACATTTTTGTTCTTTTGAAATACATTTGTTTTGTACAAGTCCTCTTTGTATTAAAGGTTGTTATAGTATAATACAAGCTTTCTGGATTTGATGGGGAGACTCAAAGACACTTGTTTTAATTGGTGAAAGAATCAAGAGAATGTTAGTGTTTACTGTTATGTTGTTTATGTGTGCCAAGTACTTTGCCTCCATCGTCTCACTCATCTACAAAACCTGTTGTTAAGGCGGCTACAGAAGACACTGTGTTGTCACAGGATAAGCATAAAGCAGTTGTTCCCAACCTTTGGTCCTCCAGTTGTTTTGGACTTCAACTCTCGGAAATCCCAGCCTGTTTACCAGCTATTAGGAATTGTGGTAGCTGAAGTCCAAAACACCTGGAGGACCAAATGTTGGGAACCACTGGCATAAAGGAATCCCACCTGTTCCCTTAGCTTTCAAAACATTGGGTTGTTGTAGGTTTTTTGAGCTGAATGGTCATGTTCTAGAAGCATTCTCTCCTGACGTTTCGCCTGCATCTACAGCAGGCATTCTCAGAGGTTGTGAGGTCAGACCTCACAACTTCTGAGGATGCCTGCCATACATTTTCCAAACATTTGTTAAGCAACATTTCCCTAGAACCTTTACACGAGCTTTCCCTTGCGTAGCACCCTTGATGTGCTTTGGGTGACAATTCCCACCATCCGCTGCATGACCAACAGCACAAGATACATACTAAGGAGGTGTCAAGAAGTTGAGCATAAACAAAATAACAGCTGGAGGGCACCAAGTTTCGAGTTGCTGTACTTTGCAGGATTGTGAGGAGAGAACACACAGTTCATGCAAACCTCTGAGTAGACCTGGCATAAAGGTAAACGTTTCCCCTTGATACTAAGTCTAGTTGTGTCCGACTCTGCTGGGTGGTGCTCATTTCCATTTCTAAGCAGAAGAGCCAGCATTGTCCATAGACACCTTCAAAGTCATGTAGCTGGCATGACTGCATGGAGCGCAGAAATTACCTTGCATCTATACAGAATATGATTGCATCAGCAATAAACAAGCTGTTTCAAGGAAGCTTATCTAATGTTACTGATTTTCTCACTGGGGAGCTTCTGATAAAGTTCTAAGAAACATTAAGGAACACAGGATGTGGCCTGGTACCAGGTAATAGAATTGGTCGATCAAGTTCAATATAGCCTATATGATAGCTGAGAACAGTAAGATCCAATCTCTACTCTAGAGTGACCAGCAACACCTCTCCTTTCTCCATAAGATACTTTTACAATGGTCAGAATTCTCTTAGCAACATATGTAAGTGCAACCCTCAGTTATGTGTGCAGCTTTTTTTTAATGCTGCAGGGATTGGCAGGCCCCTCACCTGACTATGAAGTCCTTGAAGCCACCCCACATAGCCAATTCTGTGCTTATTTATGATCAGAAGCACATCTGGAAGCCGCTGTGAGTCCCCTCTGCGGTGAGAGAGAGCAGGGTAGAAACACAGTACATAAATAAACATTTACATAGTGAGAAGCACAATGACAAAATCAGCAGTGAGCTTTATGGAGGTGCTCCAGAGGGCTCGGCGCTTTTGTCATCATTGTGCATCCAGCTACAGCAGGGGTCCTCAAACTAATGCCCGCAAACCAAATTGTTTCCTTGCCCCGCACTGAACTTTATACTTACTGCTGCTGCCGTTTGCATCCTGCCACTACCACCACCTTCTTCTAGCTCCCTCTTAACTCTCCTTTCCTCCATTTTCCTCCAAATTGGAGGGAAAAAGAAGGAAAACAAGGTAGAAAAGAAACAGAAAATATGGTGCAGCAATTTGAACCTTTGCTCTGAACCCACTGGGCGCCTTTAGGTTAGTCCCACTCTCTCAGCCTCAGAGGAAGACAAAGGCAAAACCACTCTGAACACATCTCAACAAGAAAATTCTATGATAGGGGTGCCTTGGGGTTGCCCTAAGTCTAATAGGACTTGAAGGTACACAACAACAACAACAACAACAACAACAACCCATAACTGCCCCCCCCCCCAATTGGTCTGAAGGACCCGGAACTGGCCCTCTGTTTAAAATGTTTGAAGGTCCCTGGGCTATAGGAATACAGCCAGGCTATATGGGACAGTTTACACTAAGTTACAGGACGGAATATGGTTTGGTCTAGTGTAGGTCCACACAGAGATATTTACGATATACTGATGGGAGGTAAGATTGAGGGCAGCGAGTCACATCATTGGTCACCTTAGCTCAATTTTGTCTACAGAAAGATTGCTTTTGGACTACAGCTCCATAGTCCCTCACCACTAGATATTGGGCACCTGCAATCCATGGTTCTAAATGGTTCTAAAGTACTTACAAAACCAGGGGGCGCTGGTGCTTTGTTTCTAAAGTGTTTCTAAAGTTTTGGTGGTGAAAATTTCAGAATTCTAACAAAACTCAAAATTTCACTATAAATGGCAATTTCTAATTGGTTCTGTCATAAAAACATGGCAAAAGTTTATTATACTGAGAAAACTTTGTCTTTGTGCAAGGGACATCACCCTATAGCACATTTTGGTTTGTTGGGTCTCCACCAATTTAACAAAGCTTCTGCCTCAAAAATAAAGTTTCTGGAGTAAAGACCACACAATGAAACAGGAAATAACACTTTCAAACCAGGAACAGATTTTCTTTATTATTAAACAAATGTTTTTACACACACTTTGAAAATTCACCAAAAATCAGTGGACAAGTCAAACGTTCTGAAATTTGGTGCGCTAACAATGGTGAAATCTTGACAGTTTTGTTAGAGTTCTGAAATTTTTGCCACCAAAACTTTAGAAACACTTTATAAATAAAACACCAGTGCCCCCTAGTTTTGTAAGTACTTAGAAACATGGATCACACATTCCTACTAGATATACTAAATAGGACAAATGGGAATTTTAGGTCTAAAACATCTGGCTGGCCCAAGGTCTGAACAGCAGCTCTTCAGTTTTGCATAGGGCAGTCTATCCTAGGCCCTGTTTGAGGGTGAAGCTGAGGCCTTTCCAGTGATATGCTTTGAAATGCAGCCCTGAAGTCAGAGACCTGCTCCTTCCTGTTCAGTACTACTTAATGAGCCTTCCACAATGAACTTGTCATCCCCAACCAAAATGGCCATAAGGGCACTCATGTCGAAATGCAATTCAGCCAACTCCATTATAACGTCTCTTTCACAATTACTAGGATTCCTTAGAAGAGAACTGCCGTCATTTCCTGAAAGATGTGTCATGTCCCATAGCCTGTTGGTCTCTTTCAAAATCACCACCACCATTGCCTTCTATGGCTCCAACTCTCTTTATTTATTTAGCTAAGAATGCAGTACTGTTCCTTGATCCCCATCGCAGCTGCGGCTTGCCCCCTATAACCATCGCCCCTGCTGGGGTCAAAGCTCCCACCTTCCCCTGCTTTCTCCCATCTGCTTCCTGCTCTTGTGTCCTAAGCTGTGGCTGTGTTTCCTGTTTGTCCAGCCAAGACAATACAGACACTTTGTCTACAGCAGAAAGGCCAAACCATGAGGGTTGCAGAGCAGATGGGTCAGACAGTAAAAGCCAGGGAGGAAGTGACTTTCCTTCCCTGACTCAGTGCTGTTATCCTCCCTTCTGGAAGAAACCCTCCTTTGCCCTCTCAGAATGACAAATGCATGTAGTCTGATAGGAATCCTATTTCGCTTAGGGAGCAAAAGGAAGGGCATTAAAATAACTGAAGGATAATTGGGGCATCTTATGCCGACTCTATTGTTGATGGTGATCTCTCCGCTCAGCCCAAAGTCAAATGTCTTAAATGGCTGATAATGAGGTCCAGTTCTCATAAAAAAGCAGTTATGTACATTGTCAGAAACACAATGAATAGTATCCATGCTGCCTAATAGGAGGAAGACCAGTGGCATCTAGAAGGCCTTGGGTAGACAATAAGAAGATCTATATCATCAACCTATTATGGAGGTTAGTCCAAGTGGATTTTGACAACGTTAAACACAATTTTAAAAGGTTTACATTAGAGGTTACTATGTTCTAAAAGTCACAGCATCAGAGTTGGAAGAGACCTCGTGGGCCATCCAGTCCAACCCCCTGCCAAGAAGCAGGAAAATCACATTCAAAGCACGCCTGACAGATGGCCTTCCAGCCTTATATTCCTCCACCTCTTCTGCTTCCCATAAGTCCTCTTGACCTTTCAAGCACCCTAAGTAACTTTCCAATCTTAGAATGGAGTTCCTACAATAAAGCTAAACTTGTTTCCCAAGCCATTGATGTGTTTGCTTCTTAAATCAATTTTTCTAACTACTGTATTCACAGTAACACCGTTATCTCCATCTTGCGTCCTGCCTGTATAGGATATCTTTAATTCTCCCCTGACAGATGGCATCCAGCCTCTGTTTAAAAGCCTCCAAAGAAAGAGCCTCCAACACACCCTGAGGCAGAGAGTTCCACTGCTGAACAGCTCTCGCAGTAGGGAGTTCTTCCTCACATTCAGGTGGAATCTCTTTTCCTGTAGTTTTGAAGCCATTGTTCTGCGTCCTAGTCTCCAGGGCAGCAGAAAACAACCCTGCTTCCTCCTCCCTATGACTTCCCCTCACATGTTTATACATGGACATCATGTCTCCTCTCAGCCTTCTCTTCTGCAGGCTAAACATGCCCAGCTCTTTCAGCTGCTCCTCAAAGGGTTTGTCCTCCAGACCTCTGATGATTTCAGTCGCCCTCCTCTGGACACATTTCAGCTTGGCAACATTCAATTGCGATGCCTAGAACTGGACACAGTGTGATTCCAGGTGTGGTCTGACCAAGGCAGAATAGAGGGGTAGAATTACTTCCCTGGATCAAGACACTAAACTCCTATTTATGCAGGCCAACATTCCATTGGCATCACATTGTTGGCTCATGTTTAACTTCTTGTCCATGAGGACTCCAAGATATTTTTCACACATACTACTGTCAAGCCAGGTGTCCTCCATTATGTATCTTTGCATTTCTTTTTTTCCTATGTGGAGTATCTTGCATTTGTCCCTGTTGAACTTAATTTTGTTCGTTTTGGCCCATCTTTCTAATCTGTTAAGACGGTTTTGAATTCTGCTCCTGTTT